ATTGATTAAAAAATAACCAAAAAGAACTAAGGTTGAAGTATAAATAGATAGTAGTAGCTGGCAATGGCGTGTGGTGTGTAGTGTGTAGTGTAAGTGTATAATGTGTGAAGGAAGTGAAGGGACTTGACCTTTGTGTGGAGTTGGTGTTATCGTAAATGCATAATATGCGTATGGTTTGTGTGAATGATACTCCCTCGTAATTATTGCCAAGGAACAAAAACTATGGAAAAGTTTTGTGTCACCACATGGAGTATGTTTCAATGCCAAATCTTCCGTTTCAAGCGTATATTTTTCAAAATAATATATTCATAAATAAAATTATGAGATATAAGTATAAAATTGTGTTTTAAAATATATTTTTTCTTTTATTTTAAATAATAAAATTGGGTTTTAAAACAAGTTTATATTTAAAACTTGACTTTTAAGGCACCATTTCAATTAAATTTTAAAATAAAAACAATAGTAGTTTAAATAATAATAATAATAATAAATTTAGTTTATTTTTTGTTCGTGTATTTTTAAATTGATGAATTAAGTTTTCCAACCTTTAAAAAATATGATTTAAACTTTTTATATTTAAATTTAATGTTTAATGATTATTATTTATCTTAATAAAAATAAAAAAAATATTAAATTTTGTACACTCAATTTAATATCTAATAACGTATTTTTACTATCATAAAATTAATAAAAATAAATAAATTTACATAATTTTTAAATTTGAAAATTAATTAATCAATTATAAATATTGAAATCAGTTTTGCCGAAAATACATAAATAAAAAATTTTTTTTATTAATTGTTATTTAAATCAAACCTTTGTTTTAAAACACAGTTAATCTATATTCCATAATTTAATAATTCTCTAAGATTTTAAAAAAAATAACCAAATAATGTTTTATATATATATATATATATATATATATAAAGAATGTTAAATTAGGTCAAATTGTCCAAATCAACCTCGATCTATTAATGGTTCATAAGTAAAATTTTATCTTGTTATTAAATAGATTTTAAGATTATTATTTGATTAGAACTATTAATTAAATTTAGATAATAAAGTCAGGACATTTTAACTTGTTATTAAGTTGATTTTAAGGTTATTATTTGATTAGAACTATTAATTAAACTTAGATAACAAAGTCAAGACATCTTATTAGATCTTAATTTCTAGAACATCATCTTAACTAGATACAAAACGAGTTAGGTCTGATGAATTGATTAATTCAGCATAAAAATGATGGCTGATTAATTCAGCATAAAAATGATGGAGCGTATTAATAATATTAATTTGTAAGTTCATTTTGATTTATCTCACCTGATTCGTGGAAATAATTAAGTAAGTTGGTAATATTAATATGTCAAACTACTTTCATATGTGATATTTAGTTTATATCAAATTTAAAAATTATTTATATATTAAAATAAACATAAAATTATTATAATTAAAAATATTATAATTTTTTTATTAAGTTTATAAAATATATAAATATATTATAATATTATAAATTAAATTATAAAAATGAATTAATTATGATAAAATTATTAATTATTTGAATACATAATCTACTACCCATCTTTTTAGTAGCCTAAAGAGGAGACGGGTGCGGGACCATCTTACCATCCTAACCCTGAGAATAGAAGATAGAAAACACAAAATGAAAGACTTTAAATTTCATGTTGAAGGGAGAGCAAGAGCATCCCCTAGTTGTTTGACCCCTCTAGAAACGTGACATCTCTCATCCTCATTCATATACTCTTTAGAAGATTTTACTACATCCAACATATATTGAAAATAGAGGATTCATAATATATATGCCTAATTTAATTTGATTTATAAATTTTTACAAGTAATATTAGAGATCGATCTAATAATTTTATTTTAAAAAAAATACAAAAATTATTTGATAATTTTAATTTGAAAACAATTTAAAAACTCCACATAAAAAAATCGTCACAAAATTTGATATTTTTATGTTAATAAAATGAGCAACTTTAATTATTAGTAACAAAATTAATATTATTAATGATAATAAAAAAATAAATTTTATTAGTTTTCTTTTTGTTGGTTTTTAAAAAATGAAAAGTACGATAGAATAATTATTAAACATTTTTAAAATTTTTAAAAATAAAATACTAGCAACATCTTTTAAAAGATGGTTTACAAAAGTTGTTTTAAAAAATATTATTTTATCATAAATTTTATGTATGAATTACTTAAACATAAACAAATATTTAAAATTTAAAAATTTAATTATATAATAATATTTTCATAATAAATACTTAAAATTATATATATATATATATATATATATTATTTTAATATATGTCATACTAAAATAATATATTAAAAATATTTATTTAGAGGAATTTTAAAAAATAAAATATATTATTTTAATATGACATATTAAAATAATATTTTTTTTACTAACTCTTTATAGTTATTATATTTTTTTTCATTTAAAATAATTTTGTATGAGATTTATAATAAAATTATATTTTTATTCATAAATTATTGTCATAAACAAAATAATATATACATATTCTTAAAAAAAAGTGTACTTGAAAAACAAGTTATTATTTTTTTATATAAACAATAGACTTTCAATTTTATAATTATAGATATTATATATTTTAAAAAAGTATCGTTTCTAAAATTATTTATAATATTTTTTATTATATGAAAGTTAAAAGTATTGATAAATATTTCAAATTTTCATATGAACCATTCTTAGTAGATATTTCGAGATGTTCTATATTTTCATAATTGTTAAAAAAAAATTAAAATGTTATAACTGTAATTTTGAGGATTTGTTAAGTTGAAAGATAAATATAGATTCATATTCTCATATGTATATAATAAAAGTGTTTGAATTTGAAGATTAATTTGTAGGAATGAAATTAATGCATTTCAGGAAAAAAAATAAAAGTATAATAGTTTGAATTAAAAAGAACGATAATAAAAAATGAAAAAAAAATCTGTGACTTATCATATTGGTTTGATAAATTAAAAAAATATTTTAATTAATTATAATTTTATTCTTATATTAAAATAATATTTTAAAAAAAATATAATTAATATAAATTAGGTTAAAATGAGACGTGACTATTAACCAACGTTAACTAGAATTATTACGAACAATCACCATTTATAATACAACACAAAATACAAAGAATCGATTCTAATATAAAATGAAAAAGAAAAATCAATTTAAAAAAGAAAATTTTCAAAAGAGGAAAATCGATCCAAAAAACCAACACATACGCAGAATAGCTGTTCCACCTCTACTACACTCCACCAACCGAGACAAAATGCTAAACAACATTGTCCTTCAAATAATTATCAGTAACTATATTTAGCCTCACTAGCGTCAATTGTGAAAGTCAACTAATTTCAAAAATGGTTTATGATACGTATACCCATGTAAGAAATGATGATTTCTACATGTTTTTATATTTAGAAAAAACAAAATCTCATACTCATGATAACAACTAGGAGTTGCACTTTTAACTTTTTATGTATTTATAAATAAAATAAAAATTCTATGTATAGAATTATGATTAAAAAATATAATAAATTTCCTTTCGTTTCACAAACATTATTACTACTAGATAGTCACCAAGAAAAAAATTATTATTGTATTTAAATATCATTTGAACCCCTGTAGCTTTTTAGTATTTTGTTTCCTTCATAAAATTATATATAAATGATTGAGGTTTTGGTGTCTACATTTTTAGTTTTTATTTTACTCTTATAATTTATTCTCCAATTTTATAATTTATCCTATAATCACGCTTAGAATATTAACAGTTTCCAACTGTTCTAGCTAAAATTTGAAGTATTTAGTTAGAATTAATTTTGATTTTAAAGCAGTTATTAAGTTATCTTTTGTTAAGATTGATTTCAATTAAAATCTTTATATTTGACCGGTTAAGTACTAATAATTTCACTGATGCACTTGTGTACGAGTTTCCGTGTAAGATAAAACATTCGTGAAGTTGTTCAAAATGAAATCAATTTGTTAAAAGAACATAAATCCATACAATTTCTATAAATAACTCTATTTTAATATTATAATAATAATTTTATTTTATTTTTATTTATATTAAATCGGTCTATAGATTATTATATTAATAAAAATGAATTATTTATAAAAATGATATAATTTTTGATTGTGAAAATATCACCTCTCTTTATTAAAATATCTGAATTTTTGAAAGTAGGTAAATGAAAGGAGTTGTTGAGAAGTACACCGATTCAGTTATTTAATTTATATAATAATCAAATTATTTTTATTCAGTAAAATATAAAACAGTTTAATAAAAAATAGTTTTAAAAAAATTATATCTACTTTATATAATTAATGATATAAACAATAATACATTTATTTTTATGAAGGAAAAGATAAAATATTTTGTTATAAGAGTCGATAAAAGAATAATTATAAAAAATATATATTTTATATAATGAAATAAATAATAATAAAAAAATCATAAATTTATTTAGCTAGAACGATTTTCAACTCAAGTATTAATCAGTTATTATTAAGTCAAGATTATTTAAATTATACAATATTCATACAACAAAATTCAATAAAATAAACTTGAAAAGTAATATATATATATATATATATATATATATATATATATATATTATTTTTTTATGATTGTTTGGGCCGTTAGACGAAATGGGCTGAGAGGAACACGGTACGAAAAGAAAACAACATCGATTACGGGGGAGAGGAGTGCGCGGGAAACAGTTGGTTTTCTCTCACGTTTTGTTCTTCTTCTGCCGTCACACATCACTCTTTCAATCTATTTCCTCTGCAAATTCCTGTTTTCATTCGTACACAACGCAAATGGGTATCAAGGTCTTCACTTTTTCATCATTCTATTCCTTTGTTTCCCTTTCAATTAATTATCATTGATATTAATTTTGTTAATGCCATTATTTTCTAGGGTTTAACTAAACTTTTGTCGGACAATGCTCCAAAGTCCATGAAGGAGAACAAATTCGAGAGCTACTTCGGTCGCAAGATTGCCATTGACGCCAGCATGAGCATTTACCAGTTCCTTGTCAGTACTTCCCTTCACAACATATACCGTAGTTTTAACAACGGTATCGGTACTTTAAAGTTATTTTATTAACTTAATATCACGTGTCGTGTCTTGGATTTTGGTGCAGATTGTCGTCGGAAGAAGTGGAACCGAGATGCTCACTAATGAAGCCGGTGAAGTTACTAGGTATATGCAGTAATCACTTCATATGCTTTCAATTAGACAATCTTAATTGTGTGATTTGTTGGTTTTCGTTTCAATTTCTTCCTTTTTATGATAAATGTGGTTCGTCTTGTGTGATGATGGTGTTGGTTTTGTGTCTGGTAGCCATTTGCAAGGGATGTTTTCGCGGACAATCAGACTTCTAGAAGCCGGGATCAAGCCACTGTATGTATCTATAGGTTTTAAATTTCACAAACCTTTCTTTTCTTGAAACCCTCTTAGGATGATTATTTATATGCTGAATTTTTCTTATGCTGGTGTGCAGATATATTTTTGATGGGAAGCCACCAGATTTGAAGAGACAAGAGCTGGCAAAACGGTATTTTAAGTGGATATTCTGTTTTTTTCAGAGAATTCTAATCTTTGTTATGAGATGGGGGTGTTAAATTATTACAGAATTGTAACTTGTAGAAAGTACCTTAATAATTATTTTCACACTGAAATTCTGTTAGTTACTCCAAGAGGGCCGATGCTACTGAAGATTTATCAGAAGCCTTAGAGGTATATGCGCAGTTTGTCTTTGACTTTGCTCTTTGGATCCTTTTGTGTTAAATCAATATACTGATCTGTGGGCTGCTTTTTCTTGTCATTTAGACTGGCAATATAGAAGACATTGAAAAATACAGTAAACGAACGGTGAAGGTGGGTTTTTGTTTCTTAGGCTCATTTATTTGAGAAGTTTTTCACATTGTACATAGAGAAAGAAGCATGGTATTGACGTCATCTCCATATTATTGTAGGTGACAAAGCAACATAACGAAGACTGCAAAAAACTTTTAAGACTTATGGGTGTGCCCGTTGTTGAGGTAACGTTGCATTACTAAAGTATTTATTGTGCTGTGTTTTTGCCATCTGGTTAAGGCTTTGGGTTCTACAGGCACCCTCAGAAGCAGAGGCTCAATGTGCTGCACTTTGCAAAGCTGGAAAGGTAAGTTCATACCTGTTGTGGATCACTTGTTTTATGAACTGAGTTCTTGAAAGCTAAAGTGATTATATTATTACTAATCGTTTTAAAACAATACAAGAGACTTATTGGAAACAGAAAGATCAAATTTTAAAATTTTATCACTTTTTCTTATAAAATCCATTTAAATTTCAGTTACCTTCTTCCTTTCTTACCTTTTCTTTTTATAACTATGCCTTCAGATAATTTTATCAACTCATTCCTTAAAATTAATTGGCAGCATAATATATGCTGAAATGTCTTATGTATTATAGGTTTATGCTGTGGCTTCTGAAGACATGGATTCCTTAACATTTGGAGCTCCTAAATTTCTTCGCCACCTAATGGATCCAAGCTCCAAAAAAATTCCAGTGATGGAATTTGAAGTTGCAAAGGTCCTTGTAGCTTTCAACATACATGAGTATTTTACTGTTTGATATTCTCATTTTGGTATTTCGTTGGTTTCAGATTTTGGAGGAGCTAAATCTGACCATGGACCAATTTATTGACTTATGCATTCTTTCTGGCTGTGATTATTGTGAAAGCATTCGAGGTATATTTCAACCCAATTTTATTTGTATGGTGCCTGGTCTAAGCTTTATTTTATGATTTCTGAATGAACTCTATTTTGCAATGTATATAGTATAATTGATAAATGTCTGCCGCAGGAATTGGGGGATTGACAGCTCTGAAACTCATACGTCAACATGGCTCTATTGAAAATATGCTGGAAAATATAAACAAAGAGAGGTTTTTCTTTTTATTGAAAGTCACTATCTCTTGTGTGTACAATTTAACGTGTATGAATAACATTACATAACCTTGTGGAATAAGGTTTACTTGCTTCTCTGTTATGTTTGTGCTGGCTTACCAATCAAACTTCTGGTCAAGATATTTGGGTTCTTATAAGTTTATTAGTAAGTTCATTTATAAGACGAATGAGCCACAATTACTTGTTTTTGTACTGTGTTTATATCATGATAAGTTTTATTAATATACCTTATTTTAATGGGGTCAGTTAGGCATACCACACTTTATCAAGCGATTAGAATCAAATAAATACTTCTTATTGACACTAGAAAAACTTGCTTTGCTTATGGATTCAGTTATCCTATCTAAATACTCTTTTTGAATGCTAGGTGAATGATATTTAATTATGATTTTGGTCTTTCATCCTTGGAAATGCTTATAGTGATTGTATTGGTTCAGGTACCACATACCAGATAATTGGCCGTATCAGGAGGCTCGGCGACTTTTTAAAGAACCATTGGTCTTAACTGATGAAAAGGAACTTGATATTAAGTGGTCTGCTCCAGATGAAGAAGTAATAACTATTCCGATTTAGAACTTAAATATCATTTCAAATTTGTATGGATTCACATATATACATATGTTTGTGCTCTCTCTCTCTCTCCCTATTGTGTTCTTTGGCAATACAATTAGGTTGCATTGTGTTTCCTTTTTACAGGGTTTAATAACATTTCTAGTAAATGAGAATGGCTTCAACACTGATAGAGTGACTAAGGTATGTAGAGCTCTAAATTGTATTTCCTCTGCGTCAAAATATATGATATATGACGATTAAGGTTGGGTTACACAAACTAAGACAAATATTAATTTTCATTATTTTCAATAAATTTATTAGTTTTTTTTTTCATTTATATCCGTATCATCTTAATATTCTCTCCCTCCAAAATTACTCTTAATAACTTTTTATCTTCGTTTTTCTGTAATAAATATGATTAAAAAAACAAGATATAATTGGTAAAAAGGTAATTAATGTAATCTTAAATCTTGCAAACTAACATATATTTATAAACAAAATTTTCTCATCAAAACGTCTTATATCTTGAATTAAGTAGGATTTCAATTGCTTCTTTAGAAAATTTACATGATTTCTATATGAATGTCAGGCAATAGAAAAAATTAAAGCAGCAAAGAGCAAGTCATCACAAGGCCGGTAAGTGATTCTTAAGTCATTAAACATGAGTGCAAAACCTTTCTTTTCTTGTCCTACCTAACTCCTCATTTTTCTCTTTCTGGAAACAACAGATTGGAATCATTTTTTAAGCCAACACCAAATTCATCAGTACCAATCAAACGCAAGGTATGTATCTACCATATCTATCATCTCCCCCAGATGTGGACATCCAGAATTATTTTATTTTCAAGAAAACTGGGCAAGTTCTTCACTGAAACATTTGTGCTCAGAATTTGGGTTGGCTGTGATTCAGTTATTCTGTTTTTCTCCCCAATTTATCTGGCTGAAACTAAATAAACTATTGTTTCTGTGCATTATATTCATCATGTTAAGGTTTTGTATGGATGATGAAAAAAATCTTCCATTCCATGAAAATGTATCATTAACATAATTTGTGTGAAAAATAGAGTATTAACTTTCTGTAATTTGAAAAATACAGATATACACTGTATTCATGTATCAAATGTGACACTTTGTTTTCTTATGGTTGAATATCTGCTAAAAGATGTAATGGTGAACACCCTGGTTTGTGTGGCAAGCAAAATATTTATCATATCACCCAAATGTGGATTTGGAGCTCTTCAGCCCTTTCTCGTTCACGTGTTTTCTTCACTAGTAATAATTTGAGGACTTCCAAATCAGAGAAAAGAACCTAAAGCAGGAAATTTTAGTCCCAATTTTACTAGAAATCTTAAAGTTGACATGCTAGATAATTTGGCTACACTTAATGACAGGAAATCAAATACATGCTTAGATCTTTCAAACCAGCAATTGAGCATAAGATGTTCTCTCTGCAAACTCGTAACTGGTCAAGGCCCATGGTTTGTGCCAACTTGAGCTTTCCAATGTATAATCTGGGTTCCGAGCTCCATATCTTTTTCTAGAGGTGTATGGTTTGGTGCCTGAAGCTCAATATATCCCTGGTGAACCTCTGAAGTTTATTCTGTGTAATCTATCTTTTAGTAACCAACATATAAGTGTTAACACAGTTACGGTGACTTTGCAGATTGATCAATTACAGCTTTTTACAATCTATTCTGGTATTTTTAGTGATTCTTCCACTAATTTTGCATGAGTAGTTTTGAAAATTATGTCAAGCCTTCTTACAATGCTCAAGTTATATTTTATTACCAGTAGTGTACATCTCCTACCTTTGATTTGTTTTCTGTGGCTTCACTATTAATTCCTTCAGCATTTGGGCTTGTGGATCTAGTCAATTACTATTTTAAACTTGTATGAAGTCTCATTGATTCGTCAGAAAAGCAATAACGACTGGATAGCTTCTTGTTCTCTTATCTGGATGTCCGTTATTCTTTGTCTTTGTTAAGGAGATATCTCATCTTCCTTTTCTTTTTTTCTTTTTTTTTGTCTGTTTTTTACTATTTCTCTCACGTTTTATTATCCAACATATTATTGACTATAAAAGGCCATCCATATGTTATTGGCTGCCATGCCATCTAATTGATATATATATATATATATATATATATATATATATATATATATATATATATATATATTGATAAAGCCCTACATGAACAGTAAAGTTGGAATGGCATAGTAAAGATCAATACACGCACGTACTACTTGTGCTTGAGTTGGGTACTTGAAATGCTGATTAACATTTTAGGTTGGCTACTTGCCGAAGCCCGAGTAATGGGTTGGTCCCCTTTTACACCCTTGATCTGCTTTAAAAGCACTACAATGAAGCAACATCTCTAAAGATATAAGCTGATGGTAACTAAACAAACAAATATCTACTTCTATGTTAAGATAAAACATTCAGTGCAAAATACTGGAAGCAATGAAATCACCATCCCTGCACAAATTAATAATATTGGTATGGAAGGTCCGTGCTTTGACATCCTTTTTGGGACAGGAAACACCAGGGAAAAATGATGCTAAAGAGACTAACAAGAAGGCCAAGGGTAGTGGTGGTAGGAAGAAGAAATAGTCGGCTTTGTGTCTTGATAAGGTAAGAGTTCTGGATGTCATACAATTTTTTTTGTCCTATTTATATGACTTCCCCTTTTGCATACGTCATATCCATGACTGGGCCTCTATTTCCCCCTGGTTTTTTGCAGTTAGCATGAAGGAGGATCAACTTGCAATACTCACGTGTGTAGTCTTTCAAATTGTAAACTATTTGAGTTAGATTTATGTAACTTGACTAGGGTTCTTCCTCTTACATAGGACAAATTAAGATGCGGTGTTTCATTTTACAGAGATAATGTTAATCCTCCATTCCTGGATGTAATTTAACTTGTCTGCTTTCCTTCCGCATACGGTGAATATTTCACTTGCTTTCGTCTATGCTGGATATTTGCACGCACCCAACTGTAGTTGTAATTTACTAGAAATTAAGGTTTGTTTGAAGCTTCTATAGTAAACAAATATCCAATTATGTTGTTTATTTTATGAGATGGGTATTTGATTATATCTCCAAATATAATATACAAACCTTCATCCATCGTAGGCCGAAACTTCGTCTATTTTTTCCAATGCAATACTGTCAAAATATGGTTAAAACTCAAACATCTCTCGAGGCTGAGGCTGGGGTATCCAAAAAATGAAGTAGGTAAAGAACTCGTGAATGAATAATGATTCCACTATGGCAATACAATAATGAAGAATCCAAAATAAGTCTAGTCTATATATACTTGATTTTTCTTGTTGACAAATTTTGTTTTTTGATAGCGATTGGCAGTTAGTGAAAGCAATAACGTAACTGATAAGTCATTTTTTTTTTCCCTATATTCTAGATAACAAATGGATTCCAACATTTTACATTTTTCTTTTACTAAAAAGAGATTATAGGAGTATCAAGTCATTACCTTCAAGCTAAATCTGGTGCTGGAAATAATTAAACATTGTAGCAACCACCCCCAATAACGTGTGCGCCTGCTCTGTGGACTTCATGTGGTTCGACGTTTGCATTTTGGGTAAGCTTGTAGTAACTATTATTAATGCGAATGAATTGCCAATCTATTAAAATCAAGTTATGCAGATATTCTCTCTCTACTCAACCACCCTGTGTTAAATTTCAAGGAATGGCAACATCCTCGACAAGAAGACAGCTATATCCTCTATATGTGAGAACGAAATGCGAACCAATGATGTATAATAGACAAACTATAAGACAAGAAATAGTCACTAGCATACATTCTAATGTCAAACTGTAAATTAAGAACATGTCTTTATATTCGTACCATTTATTATCAAAAATCTAAAAATTAATAGCTACACCAGGGAACCATGATTTTCACACGTAAATAATAAGACTGTATTTTAAAATAATAAACCACTCCTCTCCTATATTCGTAGCTAGCACTTTATTTCTGCCACATCTATAAATTTTAGAAGACGTGTGTTCACCTAACGATTCACTATCCTTAAATAAATCTCTGCTGTTATTGTTTTAAAAAACACCTTTGAACTTCACTTATTTGATGGTAAAATAATTCTAAAACTACTTAGAATTCTCTTTATGAAGGAAAGCAAAGAGTCAAACTAGAAAATAGCCCAAAACCGAAGGCAAGCCCGAAGATCTGGCCCCTGGGGCCTTTGTATTTCTTTGCCTTGGGTTTAAGATGATCCATCTGGATAACTTTTCTTTAAGTTCAAGAAACAATACGGGTCTTGACAAAAAAAAAAATTAATGGAACGGTGGCGAAAAGATTGAAGAAACAAATACCCCATTTTTCATTTATCTTATCAACCAAACCTTGGATATGCTATAAATACTGAAAACCCCACCTTTGATCATCCCAAGACTTCCAACTACTTACAAGTTTGCTTTGTTGATTTCTTTCTTTTCCATTTTGTTAACTTACTGGCTTCCGAAGTCTCTTCTGGCTGCCACTTATACCATTTATTTTCATTTCATAAACAAACTCTCATCATAGTGTATTATGTCTGACCATACCATGAAGCTGGCCAACTTGGTTCTTCTCGTGACTCTGGTTCTTCTCTTAGCCACCTCTATCTCATCAGATCCTGATCTTCTTCAAGACCTGTGTGTCGCCGACCTTGCCTCAGGTTCTCCTCCTCTTTCTCCACTCTATTCATTTTTTTCTTCCTAATTCTATTCATTATACAAGTAGAGAAGTATGCAAATTTTCTTGCATGATGTTTATCCAACAGAGAATTAAGACATGTTTGATTTTCATTTCAAAAGACTCCTAAAGTAGTTCGAAAAAATAAAACTGAAAAAAAAAAATTCTTGTTTGGTTTTTGGATCTGAAAGTTAGAGTTTTTGCCTCAATTTTATCATACAATTCAGTTTGAAATTGAAGAAAACTGAAGAGTTACTGGTACAAAACACAGTCTGTAAATAAGTTTCCAATTTTTTATTTGAACATGCAATGAAAAGAATCTCTCTTCACCCACTTTTTTCCTTTTTAAACATTTTTTTTTTCCTTTGAATAATTAAATTTAATACTTTCTCTTTACTCATCAATTCTTTTTTTTTTTTCTTTCCTTCGTTTGGTTTTCTTTGAACCCCCAACATCACTCTCCAAGACATAACACTTCCACCAACTGCCTTAATTTTGCTTTGTTCTCACTCCTCTGATTAATAATTTTAACTCTAGTATACTACTCCCACTTGCATTATTAACTTTTATTAGCCCCTTTCCTTATTAATCAACACAACATAACACACGTGAATACTTCCTTTAATCTTAATTTTTCTAAAAACAACTTTCAGACATTTGAAATTGCCAAGTTTTAGCTATCCAGAACATGCTAAGGTATATAAAAGTTAAACTCCATAATTGCATATGTTTCCAGCATAATTCACAACTGGCAAATACAATTGTGTAAGGTATACACTTCTGATTCTAAATATAGTTGAAGGAGTTTAACTTTTATGTACCTTGGCATGTTCTGGATAGCTAAAACTTTACAATCAAATGTCTTTTACACTATGAATAAGATACACTATTTACTTTAATTAGTGGCTGTGACTGTGATGGGAAACAGGTGTGAAAGTGAATGGATTCACCTGCAAAGAAGCATCTAAGGTGAATGCCTCAGATTTCTTTTCCAACATACTAGCCAAACCAGGAGCCACCAACAACACCTTTGGCTCCTTGGTGACTGGAGCCAATGTTGAGAAAGTCCCAGGACTCAACACACTTGGTGTCTCTGTGTCAAGGATTGACTATGCCCCAGATGGCATCAACCCTCCTCACACTCACCCTCGTGCCACTGAGATTGTGTTTGTGCTTGAAGGGCAACTAGATGTGGGGTTCATAACCACTGCCAATGTGCTCATTTCAAAGACCATTAACAAGGGTGAAATATTTGTGTTCCCAAAAGGCTTGGTTCACTTCCAAAAGAACAATGCCAATGTCCCTGCTGCTGTCATTTCAGCCTTCAATAGCCAACTTCCAGGGACACAGTCCATTGCTACAACCTTATTTGCTTCCACACCATCACTTCCAGACCATGTCTTGACCAAGACCTTCCAGGTTGGAACCAAGGAGGTTCAGAAAATCAAAACTAGGCTTGCACCTAAAAAGTAAAAACCACTGAGTTGGTTTGCCTATCTTGTGTCTTGTCAAGGATAAATTATTACATGATTCAGGATCACATAATCTATTCAAAAACATGATTATATATCACTTAATTCTTAAAGATTAAATCGAGATATCTGTTGTCTGAATGATGTAATAATTTGTCTTTGTCGAATGCTTTTTTATCATCTCTTCTAATGTCACTTTACAATTCATGGTTGGAACAACTCATAAAGGTGAAGAATGAGAGCAAATGGGAAAGTCACATTCATTAATTTAATGATTTAAATTTGAAAGATGATTACATGTTTGGTAACTAAATTACTCCACCTTAAACTTTTCCTTTCTTTTTCTTTTTCTTCTCCTTTCCGTTACCATTTACTTATCGATCACAAATTCAATACCCCAACGTCCACGAATATGAATGGTGCATAACTTTCCAATAAATGGTACAAATAGATTATTTGAATATGTTTGAAAAAGCTTATATTATTTGTAAAACTTTTATTTGAGTACTCTTAAGTACAAGGTAAAAGCGAACATTAAAGTAAATGACTTCACAAATTTAGACTGATAGAATTTTTAGGTCTAAATAATTTTCATTTTCTGCAAATATATTTGATTTGACAAATATTTTATGATTTACTTTAGTCATAAAAAATTTAGTTATTTTGAAAATTTTGTCACTAAACTCACTTAAGGATTTAATTGGTCCAATAATATAAATTATAGAAAAGATTATTCAATCTAGTCCATTTAGGAATTTAAAAAATCAAAATATTTGAGATATAATTGTCAGAATATTTTGTTTTTTGTTTTTAAATCTTATTTTATTCTTATCTAAAAATGATTTTGTCTTTTTTATGTTTGAGCTTCTAAAACAATTTATTCTTTTATTAAAAAAAATTGAGATAAAGAATCTTAAAATGATAAAATTTTGTTTCTATTATATATCTTTTGTTTTCTTTTTAAAAAAATTCTGGTTTTTTAATCTAATTAAATTAAAGTAGAGTATGTATATATTATAGGTATTTTAAAGATTATATGCATATAATTTATATCCATTATAATTAAAAAATATTTAGATGTAATTAAATATCTTTTTAAATCTCAAGAAAAAATTTATTTTATTTAGCTATATTTATAAATTATAAAGACTAAAAACGAAAAATAGTTTAAGCAGAAGTTTTTGGTTGAAAACTCAATGATTATGATACAAACAAACCGATTACTCCATCATTATTGTGCCTCTGCCGTTATCGCAATACAGTGTTGTTCAAGTAAAATCCACTGTATTTCTATCCTTTCACGTATATAAACTAATTCCTCAAGTTATGAATTCCATATTTAAAGCATTGATTTTAAAATAATGAGTGCTTTATATTTTTAATTTTCTTTAAAGTATGCACCACAGTAAATGAATTTATTTTTCTAATTTTGCTTTCATCTCACTTTTTTCTTTTTATCAAACTAACAATAATAGTGACAATTTAATTAAATAAAACTATTTCCTCCTGTAAATCATAACACAAGGTTGGGTTGGGAATAATAAAATCTATGGATAGCCTGTAAATTAGATCTTGGAAAGAAATAAATGGGGATCTAGCTATTCATTTCTAATAAATAAAATAATAAATTACAGCGAACCTATGTCACAATTTATTTATTTCTATAAATATTATGTAGATTTTTTTATTTAAAAAAATCTCTAGAAAACCCCCAGTCACAAACATTCCTTAGAAAAAAAACTAAATAACGATATATTTTTTTAGTTAAAGGGAATTGAAATAAATTTTAAAGTAAAAATTCAACATTTTCTCACATCTAATTTCCTCTTAAATTCAAATTTGTTTACTTTTTATCTTCCACCATCTGAAAAATAATCCAGTTTCTATCAATGATTCACTATCCCAAGTCATAAAAAACAAAGACTTACCCAATTGCTAGTAATCCACTTCTAATGGTTTGCTTATAAATATAATACAGTGTGCTTGTAAACATAAAAATAGTTCCACAAAGTTGTTATCCTCATTACCAACAATCCTGAGTGTGAATGTGGGTTATGTTGCAAAACAGTTTCAAGGTAAAAAATATCACTTCAAACATGTCTGTTGCCTGCCATCAGGGATTGCATACAGCACAATTGGTTGTGAGGGGCGAATGAAGGGTACATCACACCTGAAATATCCCTTTCTCTCAAGTTGCAATACATCTCCACGCTGAAGATTTCGCATGTTGGAGTCTCCATATGCTAAAGTCTCCTTTTTGGTACATGGATTAAGCACATCAATGAAATCCTCCCCTTCTTCAAGCTGCAACCAAAGAATAACATAAAGTATTACAGTTAATAACAAAAATTTATTAAAAGCAGTGATTGCAATTAAAATTGGGCAGTGCTAATGGTAGATAAAAAAAATGTCTTTTTTTTTCTTCGGGGGAGTAGGGTGGAGGTGGCAACAATGGTTTTCGTAGTGAGTACTTAGTGGCTATGAATGACGTTTAGTTTCTTATCTTATCCACTTTTAACCTACCCCTGGTTAAGAGTTATATCTGGCATAGCTCATTCTATATATCCTGTCAGTTTTTGTCGTATGTGTTCAAACGAGGTCTGAAGGCTCTAGGAAATTGAAAATGGCTGCAGCCCAAGACAGCGAAGACAGCAAATTCAATTCAGAAATCATATAGACAACAAAAACTATCTTTCATAGGAAACTTTCTAGAATTAATGTTTCAATTTTCAACCCAATGTTAATAGATTCACCCGACTACTATGATTTGGCTTCAACTACAGATTATATATAAACAAAACATTAACAAAAAGCAAAATTAATATAATGTTTACTTTCAGAAAATTTTAATTAAAAGATATAATCTTTGTTACACTCTATTTTCTATTGAACATACAAAGATACGATCCTTGAAGATTTTGATGATGATTCAAATACAAAGGACTTGAAGTCTTGAAGACTTATTATCATTTGTATTTACTTGTAATAACTCTGTTTTATCTTTTTTAGTATGTAAAATTAGAGTCCAAGATAGTCAGCATATAGTTCTTTCTCTGAAAGTTCATTTTTATCAAGACCACTCTGTGATAATCGATTATCACTTAGGATAATCGATTATCCTGCTTGAAACTTGTTTTCTGAAAAATTTGCTGGAATAATCGATTATCTGACTTGATAATCGATTATCCCAGTTGTTTTTGGTTTTTGAAAACTCTGGAATAATTGATTATCTCAGAGGATAATCGATTATCCTGGTCCAGATTACTCTCCTGCGAAAATGGTTATGTGATAATCGATTATCTACGTCTGTTGTGATTTTTGAATTTCGAATTTGGACCTATTTTCGATACACCTATTTCCACTACTTCTATTCCCCAGACTCTAAATTTCTCTACTTAAAGTTCTCTAAGGCTCTCTAAACAAGACAACCTTTTTCATACAAAAGTTAAGAGCTATGATTGCTAGAGATAGTCAGCATATAGTTCTTTCTCTGAAAGTTCATTTTTATCAAAACCACTCTCTGCTTGAAACTTGTTTTCTGGAAAATTTGCTGGAATAATCGATTATCTGACTTGATAATCGATTATCCCAGTTGTTTTTGGTTTTTGAAAACTCTGGAATAATTGATTATCTCAGAGGATAATCGATTATCCTGGTCCAGATTACTCTCCTGCGAAAATGGTTATGTGATAATCGATTATCTACGTCTGTTGTGATTTTTGAATTTCGAATTTGGACCTATTTTCGATACACCTATTTCCACTACTTCTATTCCCCAGACTCTAAATTTCTCTACTTAAAGTTCTCTAAGGCTCTCTAAACAAGACAACATTTTTCATACAAAAGTTAAGAGCTATGATTGCTAGAGATAGTCTGCATATAGTTCTTTCTCTGAAAGTTCATTTTTATCAAAACCACTCTGTGATAATCGATTATCACTTAGGATAATCGATTATCCTGCTTGAAACTTGTTTTCTGAAAAATTTGCTGGAATAATCGATTATCTGACTTGATAATCGATTATCCCAGTTGTTTTTGGTTTTTGAAAACTCTGGAATAATTGATTATCTCAGAGGATAATCGATTATCGTGGTCCAGATTACTCTCCTGCGAAAATGGTTATGTGATAATCGATTATCTACGTCTGTTGTGATTTTTGAATTTCGAATTTGGACCTATTTTCGATACACCTATTTCCACTACTTCTATTCCCCAGACTCTAAATTTCTCTACTTAAAGTTCTCTAAGGCTCTCTAAACAAGATAACCTTTTTCATACAAAAGTTAAGAGCTATGATTGCTAGAGAACTTTGTGTAAGGAAGAAAAATGGGCTTTTGAAAACCTCGTGTAGGTTAGAAGCGTTAAGAATCACTGAGTGGGTTTCTTGGTGGATTGTGTGTTGTGCCGTATCTAAAAAAAATTGTTGTTCATCCTTTGTAGATTTAAAGGAGGTGTTCATCTCTTGTGTGACTCAAGAGATGTGTTTTCTAATCGTTATCTTTTGCAATTTGTAATCTGTTGTAAACTGTGATTATAGTGACAGCGTTAATCCTCTTTTGGAGTGGTTAACAACTGGACGTAGGGTCTTTTGATCCGAACCAATATAAATCAATTGTGTAATCTTCTTTCCCTTTTCTCTTTACTTTACAAGTATTTTAATCGGTGAAATTTGGAAAAAAATTTAAAAACCCTAATTTTTATAACTAAACCAATTCACCCCCTCTTGGTGGTTTTATCCGCAACCGCAAACATTCCGCAACGCGATTCCAACATTTTCTATTTTCATATACTTTTGCAGGATATAGAGGAAACAACTTTTATTGTTTTCATTGTATCTAACAAAAAACTTTGGAAGACAGAGAGTAAATAAGTTGGCAATTGTGTAATTAAACGAAAAAAATAAAATGTTTTCTAAAACCAACAACACCTATATTTTTCTTAATTTATATTTTCTAAATTTTCAGTGATAGAAACCAATGGCCAAAAATAACAGGATGAACA